GCCCCAGAGGGCCCCGCGGGAGGGCCGCGGGCGGGAGGAGGAGGAGGACAGAGAGGAGGGGGAGGAGGAGGAGGAGGAGGAGGAGGAGGAGGACGGAGGAGAGGAGGAGAGGCAGGAGGAGGCAGGTAGGAGGAGGAGGAGGAGGAGGGCTCCGAGACGGCCCAAGAGGGCCCCGAGACGGCGCAAGAGGGCCCCGAGACGGGCCCGCGCGCGGGCCCGGGAGTGCGCCAGGAGAGGGCCACGGACGGCGCAGGACCCCCACGGCGGCCCGAGAGGGCCACAGCACGGCCCCAGAGGGCTCCAAGACGGCCGACTACTGCCGCCCTTCCACCTCGACCTCCTCCTCCTCCCTCTCCTCCTCCTCATTCTCATCATCCTCCTCCTCCCATTCCAGCTCTCTCTATCCTCATCATCACCATGCAGGGATCATCGTGATCAGCAGATCATGATCACCACCAATCATCATGCATCACCACATCAGCATGGATTACACATTCGCACGCACTCATCATCATCATCATCATCATCAGCATCATCATCATCATCATCATCATCATCACCACCATCATCATCATCATCACCATCACCACCACCATCATCATCATGATCCTCCTCCTCCGCCTCCTCCTCCGCCTCCTCCTCGACCTCGTCATCATCCATCATCATCATGATCATCCTCCTCCTCCTCCTCATCATCATCATGATCGTCCATCCATCATCATCATCATGATCGTCCATCGCCATCGTGATCGTCAGCCATCACCATCACGAGCCTGCACCAGCATCCACACGGACGCCCCAGGAGGCCCGCGAGAGAGAGGGCGCAGAGGCTGCCCCCCGGGCAGGTGCCCAACGGGCATCCCGGCGGTCTCCGACCAGGAGGCCGGGCGCCGTGGCGGCCTCCGACCACTGCCGCCCTTCCCCCTCGACCTCCTCCGCCTCCTCCTCCTCCTCTCCTCTCCTCTCATCCTCCTCCTCCTCCTCCTCCTCCTCCTCCTCCTCCTCTCCGCTCCTCCTCCTCCTCCTCCGCCCTCCTCCTCTCCTCCTCCTCCTCTCTCTCTCTCATCCTCCTCCCTCGACCTCCTCCTCCTCCTCCTCCTCCTCCTCCTCCTCCTCCTCGTCATCATCCATCGTCATCACGATCGTCAGCCATCATCATCCTGATCAGGCAGCCCGGCGGTCGCTGCCCAAGAGGCCAGGCGCGGTGGCGGGGATGGGCCCGAGGTCACTGCGAAGGGCACGCGCCGAGGAGGGGCGCCGTGCCCCCTTCTCTTCGTCACCCCCTCTGCTCTCACGCCGCAGGGGGGCCGATGTTTCCTTGCTCCGGCCCATCCCTGCGTTCCCCCTGTGCCCCTCCTTGCCCCGATGTGTATCGTGGTTCCGATTCGCAGCGGTCCCCCGACATCCACACGCGTCTCTTCCTCGACGTAGATTCTACTCGTATTCCCTCCTCGTCTTCCATTCCCTCCATCCTCCTCCTTTTGCCCCCCTCACCCCAATGCAGTTGCGCTTGTCACAGGGCGGTTCGCAACAACATGTATATGTTCAGCGAACCGCTCTTGCTTGCCTCTCCTTATCATCCTCCTGATGCTCCTCTGCCCTTCCTTCTCCTCTCCTCTCTCCATCTTCCCCCCCTCTCTCCTCTTGCGCGGTTTTGCTGAGTCCTTTATCTTCCCCCTCGTCCTCTTCCTCGCTGCTGCCTGCTCCCTCCTTGCTGTTCCTCTTTTTTCTCCTCGAAACGACGGCGGAAGGGGAGAGGAGAGGGATGCGCGGACGTTGTCAGGGCCCCAGCCCAGAGACCTGAGCGAGAAGGAGGAGGAGGAGGAGGAGGAGGAGGAGGAGGAGGAGGAGGAGGAGGAGGAGGAGGGAGGAGAGGGAGGGAGGAGGAGGGGCGGAGGAGGAGGAGGAGGAGGAGGAGGAGGAGGAGAGGAGGAGGAGGAGGAGGAGGAGGAGGAGGAGGAGGAGGAGGAGGAGGAGGAGGAGGAGGAGGAGGGAGGAGAGAGGGAGGAGGAGGGGAGGGGAGGAGGAGGAGGAGGCGGAGGAGGAGGAGGAGGAGGAGGAGGAGGAGGAGGAGGAGGAGGAGGAGGGCAGACAAGGGGAGGGCCAGGACCTGTCGCAAGATGCTCCAGGCGGCCGTCCCGTTCGCCCTGCGGACCCCGAAGGGGCAGCAACACGAGTACCAGGCCCGCCGCCTGCCCCCTCCAGTGTGGGCGGGGAAGGGAGGACATGGAAGAGGAATGGGAGGAGGAGGAGGAGGAGGAGGAGGAGGAGGAGGAGGAGGAGGAGGAGGAGGAGGAGGAGGAGGGGAGTTAGGAGGAGGAGGAGGAGGAGGAGGAGGAGGAGGAGGAGGAGGAGGAGGAGGAGGAGGAGGAGGAGGAGGAGGAGGAGGAGGAGGGAGGAGGAGGAGGAGGAGGGAGGAGGGAGGAGGGAGGAAGGCGGAGGAGGGGATGGGGGAGGAGGAGAGGGGAGGAGGAGGAGGAGGAGGAGGAGATGGAGGAGAAGGAGGAGGCCACTGACAGGCCACTGGCGGCCCCTCGCAGCCACCCGCGAGTGGGCGGGGGGGGGAGGCGAGGGGGAGGCGAGGGGGCACGTCGGAGACGCTCGGAGGGGCATGGGCCCAAGTCTACCCCCACGATTGGCCTAAGAACATACCGCGTTCTACGCTCTGGTCCCACCCCAGGATTATCAGCATCTAGTAGGACCCTGAGGGCACCGATGCCATCGCCTATACGTGCCAGACGTTACATAGACTTTCAAGTGTCAAGTACCTCGGTGATGTGCGGGCTGAAGTCACAGCTCTTCCCTCTTGCCCACGAGAGCCGGCTCTTCAGCTGCAGGCAACGACCTGTAAGGCGCTGCTCCTAGTTCACGACAGACAGAATGTCAGTGACCTGCTCTTGCCCCACTCGGCCTAGTGGTGTAGTGAGTACGGCCTCGAGACGGCTGACCTGGCGATCACCAGATTGAACCAGCTGACCAAGTTCACCCCCCCTCAACTGCTCGCGACCCCCCTGAGAACCTATCTGAACGCGTGGAGCACAATGGTTATATACACATGGTACTGTCGCGTGTCGTCTCGGATGTGGGCAGGATTGTGGTGATTCTACGAAGCACAATCTAATATGTCCCCACTTTCAACAAGTTGTGAGAGGCCCACTTCCCCTCCCCCCCTGCTCTTGGGCCACTGGAGACGCCTTCTGTTCTATGGTCGATGTTCGTCGGTATCTATTATTGCAAGTACAGTAAATCGTACGCACAACACCTTTAATCATGTCAGAATTCGCGGGGGATGTTCCCGCCCGAAGATCGCCTCTCTGGCGCACGGCCGCGGCCGTGCTCTGGCCGGCGCGTCGCCCGCTGTGCGCGTGGCGCTCCAGTGCCGAGAATGCCCTTGAGGTGGTGGGGCCGATGTTGTCGCAATCGAGGAAAGATAAGGACTCCTAGACTTTTCGCCCTCTTCTCGCCCCTTTTTTGTCCGCCGGCCCTCCTCTCGCCTCTTTCGGAGCGTTGTCTCCTCATCCGCATGTTCCCCTCTTTCTGTTTTTCGTCGTCGGAGGAGAGGGGGGGGGGGATGCGGAGGGAAACCCGCGCTCGGACAGCCCCGGTGCCGTCGTCACCGTCGTCGCCGCCGCGTTCGCCTTCCGCCGCCGCCGCCGCCGTCGTCGTCGTCGTCGTCGTCGTCGTCGTCGTCGTCGTCGTCGTCGTCGTCGTCGTCGTCGTCGTCGTCGTCGCCGCCGCCTCGCTCGACCGCTCGAGCCCCCCGGGCGGCGTGCCGCCGCAGCGCAGGAGCACCCCCGCACCATGCCCCAAGGCGGTGGGGCTGCCGCGGCCGTCCCGGAGTGGCTTTTCGCAACGTCGCGCAACGCCTTTTAATAGATCACGTCCGCGAGTCCGCGGGTGCCGAGTGGTCGAGGAGTTGCAGGCGCGGGTCAGCAATCGGCAGGGTGCGCCGGAAGCGAAGTGGGCCACAGCAGAGATCCGGAGAACACGCGATAATTCAATATACGTGGGTCCGTAATTCATGTGCTGCTCATCCTGCGCCCCCTCTTCCTTGTTTTTTTCACTTCCCCCCTGTAATATCTTTAATTGGTGTTTGTTTCTCTCTCTCTCTCTGCCTGTCTCTCTCTCTCTCTCTCGTTTTTTTTTTTTTTTTTTTTTTTTTTTTTTTTTTTTTTTTTTTTTTTTTTTCTCTCTCTCTCTCTCTCTGTCTCTCTCTCTCTCTCTCTCCCTCTCTCTCTCTATCCCTTCATCTCCCCCTCATCATTACCATCGTGTTTGTCCTCTTCGTTAGTCCACGATTAGTTTCCACCCCTGATGTCTCGTCCTCCTTTGTTTCTCAACCTCATTTCCCCGAGAACAATGGATTGTGGGGTCCCTCAGGGTCGACGAGATCGGTTTGGGGGGGTGCCAAGAAAGGAGAGAGCGCGCTTGGGGCGCATTTCTGATTCAAGGGGGGGCCTCAGCTTCAAGCTACCCCCCCCTTCCTTGGGAAAGGGGGGGGGCTTCCGAAACGACCCCCTCCCCCCCCCTTCCCCCTTCCCCTCTTTGTCGTTGGCATGTCGGAGCCAGGGGGGCCCTCGCCAAGAGAGGGGCGGGGTTGGAACCTACCCCCCCTCCCCTGTTTTTTCGGGGCCAAAGGTCCACCCGGGCTTCCTTTTCAAAGGGGGGGGGCTTCGGAAACTACCCCCACCTCCTTTTCGCAGCTGAGGTTGCCGCGCCAAAAGGGGCGTGTGTTCGAAGCTGCCCTCCCCGTTTTCTCCTCTTCGGGGGCCCGAGGCCAGCCCGGACTTGCCTTTCACAAAAGGGGGTGGCTTCGGAAATTACCCCCCACCCTCCTTTTCGCAGTTGCTACTGGTTTGCCAAACCGGGGGGGGGGTCAAACCTATCTGTTGTTTCTTCACCATCCTGTGGTTTTGGGTGTTCGTTTGGGAGAGGCGGTGCCCCGCGACCTCCTCTTCCTCCTTCTCCTCTTCTTCCTCCTCCTCCTCCCCCTCCTCCTCTTTTCTCTCCTCCTCCTTCTCCCCTGTCTCCTTTCTCCCGTCACCCCGTCACTTTGGCACCCCCCTCACACGTTTCGTGGCCCCATAGGGAGCTCCACCGAAGGCCCCAGCGGCTGCGTTCACATGCCGCCTCCTGTCTACTTTGGCATACCATCACACGCTTCGTGTTTCCATAGGGAGCTCCACCCAACGTCCTAGTGACTGCGCTCACATGCCGCCTCTTGTCCACTGTGACACACCTTTCACACGCTTCGTGGCCCAAAAGGGGGGGCCACCGAAGGCCCCAGTGGTTGCGTTCACATGCCGCCTCCTGTCCACAATGGCACACCCGTCACGCTCTTCGTGACCCCATTGGGAGAATTACCGAAGGCCGCAGTGGCTGCGTTCGCATGCCCCCTCCTCCACTTTGGCACACCTTTCACACGCTTCGTGGCCCCATAGGGAGCTCCACCGAAGGCCCCAGTGGCGGTGTCTAGATGCGTTTCCCCCACCAGTACAACGCTTCGTGGCCCCATAGGGAGCTCCACCGAAGGCCCCAGTGGCTGCGTTCGCATGCATGTTCACGCAGTACAACGTTTCGTGGCCCCATAAGGAGCTCCACCGAAGGCCCCAGTGGCGGTGTCTGCATGCGTCTTCCCCTGTCAGTGCAGCGGTTCGTGGCCCCATAAGGAACTCCACCGAAGCCCCCAGCGGCGGTGTACGCATGCGTCTCCCCCACCCAGTACAACGCCTCGTGGTCACATAGGGAGCTTCACCGAAGCCTCCAGTGGCGGTGTCCGCATGCGTTTCCCCCACCTAGTAAGTACAACGCTTCGTGGCCCCATGGGGGCTCTACCGAAGGCCCCAAGTGCGGTGTTTGCATGCGTTTCCCCCGCCCAGCACAGCGCTTCGTGGCCCCATAGGGAGCTCCACCGAAGACCCCAGTAGCGACGTTCGCATGGGGAGCGTTGCTTCCGAGGATCAGAGAAAGGAGGGGGGGGGCTTCTGGCAGGCAAGGTCCAAAGGGGGAGGTAGCTACCCCCCCGTTCATTTTTGGGAAAGGGAGGGGAGGGGGGTAGCTTCCGAGGGGCGGAAAAAAAGGCGGGGGTCTTTCTGGCAGGGGAGGTCCAAGGTTCAAGGGGGAGAGGGGTACCTAAACCTCCCCTCTTTGGGAAAGGGAGGGGGGGGTTGCTTCCGGCACGCAAAAAGAGAGGGGGGGTGTAGCTTCCGAGGGGCGGAAAAAAAGGAGGCGGGGGGGCTTCTGGCAGAGCAGGTCCAAAGGAGGGGGGGTAGCTAAGCCCCCCCCCCTGGAAAAGGAGGGGGGGGAGCTTCCGGAGCGCCGCGAAAGCGAGGGGGGGGGGAGGGGGGGGAGTTTCCGAGGGACGAGAAAAACAGAGGGGGGGGGTCTGGCAGGGGAGGTCCAAGGGGGAGGGGGGGTAGCTAAGGGGGTGCCCCCCCCCCCCCCTGTGGAGGTGCGGCGCCACGGGTGCGCCCTCTCTCAAAGGAGGGCTTCGTGGGCATAATTTTAGCGGCGGCGTGCGTTTTGACGTGGCTGCTTCTGAGTATGTACCCTGGCGATTTTGCATTGTGCGTTTCTGACCCAGCGGAGGATTCACATGTCGATTATTGCAGTGATCGGTTGCACATGAATTCCCTCTGTGGGAGAGGGTGCACATGTGTTCTTCGTGGAGCAGCGGAGGCGCGGGTGTGGCCCCTGGGGGAAAGTTCCAGGAACAGAAAAAGGTGGCCCTGAATTCACTAGCCTCGCTTGCTCCTCCCGGGCCAGAAATAGATCGGAGCCAGTCGAGTCAGAGGGTTTGTTTTTGTTGTTCCCCCTCCTGGGACCTTTCTTCCCCCAGGTTTCGTAAGGGACCAGCGAGGATAAGGAGGACCAGGTAGAGGGTCCCTGTATTTACTCGTTCATCCTCCTTCGTCCTTCCCTCCATCTCGCCTGGTCCCTCATCTTTCCTGTTCTTCCTTACTCTTCCTTTTTGTGGACCCTTCCTACAGGAAGCCTTACTGAGGACCCCCTTAACTAAAGGAACACTTCCCGCAAGGATCCGTTGATAAAAGGATCCGTACTAAAAGGGACCGTTCGTAAGGATTTCTTTTACCAAAAGGGACCATCCAGGGCTTCTTTTACGAAGGGGGGCCTTACGAGTAATCCCTGATCATAGGGGCCCTTATCAACGAACCCGATGAAAGGACGCCTTATATAGTGAGGATTCCCTCACTAACAGGGGTCCTCAGCATGGATCCCTCATTAAGGGGATCCTTGCTCAGACACCCTTACTGAAGGCATCCTGATTGAGGGTCCCTGGCTGCGGGAATTGAATCAAGGATACCTTACCCAAGGGATCCTTGCCAAGGAGCTCATACGAAAGATACCGTTGCTACGGAATCCTTATAAACATTTTCTTTACTGAAAGGAATCCTCACGAGAGGGCTCCTTACTAGGGATCCCTTATTCAAAAGCGTGTTTGATGAGGCTCCCTCATTAAAGGCACTAGTTAGCAGGAACACGGCAGCATTGCAACAGATTGCTTCCCAGCCTTCTGTGTTAGGTGCTCGTTTTGAATAGAGCGCTGTGGTCGCGCCTCCTCCCGCCTCCCTCCTGCCTGCAGCCTCCTGCTTCCTTGTCTCGTACCTCTCGTACTTACCTCCGACCTCGCCATCCCTGGGGGGCTGCGATCTGCGAGACTTCGAGGGCTGCTCGGGGGTCCAGCGGGGTGACGTCTTACGCAGATCAGGCCGGGACCTCGCCGTCGTTGGGGGGCTGTGAACTGCGAAACTGTCGCCACCTTCGAGGGTTGCTGGGGGGTCCAGCGGGGTCCTCGCCGTCGCTGGGGGACAGCGAACTGCGAAATTATAGCAGCCTTCGCTAGCTGCTAAGTGGGTCCAGCCACATGGCGTTTTACGCAGTTCGGGGCGTGACCGCGCCGTCGCAAGGGGGGGGGGGGAACTGTGAACTGTCGAGACTTTCGAGAGCTACTGGGGGGGGCGGGGGTCCAGCGGAATGGCGTTCTACGTTGGTCAGAGCGGCACCTCGCCGTCGCTGGGGGGCTGCGAGCTGCGAAATTGTCGTTACGCTCGAGGGCTGTTGGGTGTCCAGCTGCGTGACGTCTTACTTCGATGAGAGCGGGGCCTCGCCGTCGTTGGGGGAGCTGCGAATTGTGAAATTGTCGCCACGTTCGAGTTCTGCTCGGGGGTCCAGCAGAGTGACATCTTACGCAGATCAGAGCGGGACCTCGCCGTCGCTGGGGGGTGCGAGTTGCGAAAATGTCGCCACTTTCGAGGGTTGCTGGGTGTCCAACGGAGCGGCGCCTTACGCAGATCAGAGCGGTACCTCTGCGTCGTTGTGGGGCTGCAAACTGCGAAACTGTCGCCACTTTCGAGGGCGGCTGGGGGAGTTCAGCAGAGCGGCGTCTTCCGCAGGTCAGAGCGGGACCTCGCCGTCGCTGCGGGGGGGGGGGGGGGACTGCGAAGCTGTCGCCACGTTCGAGGGCTGCTCGGGGGTCCAGCGGACTGGCGCCTCACGCTGATCCGAGCGGCACCTCGCCGTCGTTGGGGGACTGCGAGCTGCGAAACTGTCGCCGCGTTCGAGGGCTGCTGGGGGGTCCAGCGGAGCGACGTCTAGCGGCCAGCGCTGATCAGAGCGGGACCTCGCCGTCGCTGGGGGTCTGCGAACTGCGAACTTGTCTCCGCTTTCGAGGGTTGCAGGGCGGTCCAGCGGGGTGACGTCTTATGCAGATCAGAGCGTTACCCCGCCGTCGCTCGGGGGGGGGCTGCGGGCTGCGAAACCGTCGCCGCCGAGGGTTGCTGGGGGGTCCAGCAGGCGGCTTACCCAGATCAAGGCGGGACCTCGCCGGGGGGGGGAGGCGAGTTGCGAAATTGTCGTCAAAGTCGAGGGCAGTTTGTTTGTTGTATGACGGGGTCCTTATCAACGATTCTTGATTGAAGAGGTCCTTACGAAGGACTCGCTAATTTAAGGCCACGAAGCATCAATCACGACCTGATTTTGTTGTTTTGTTTCTCCGGAGGGTGCACTGCAACACATCATTCAAAAGCATCCTCACCGAATGGGTCATTATCCAGGAGGTCTTGCTAAAACGGGCTCGTCTTTAAGACCCGATTCTAAGACATCATTGCTCATGTGGTTACTATTACATAACGCTATATGAAGCATTACGAACGACGCCTCACCACAAGGATCCTTACTGGTGGAATCCTTATTGCAGGCATCCTCACAGAGGATTCCGCACTAAGGAGCATCTGTAAGCAGGGCTCCTCACTCAATGTACGCTGGTCAGCGAATGCTCATCAATACCATCCTTACAAGGAGTCCTTTTAGATGAACGTGTACGGAGGAGTCCTTACTGCAGGGATCCTTGCTGAGGGGATATTCACCACACGCATAAACGCTAAGGTTCCCTCAGCAAAGGGACCGTTTACGAAAAAATCCGCACTGAGGGCATCGTTAGAAAGGACTCCTTGTATGATCCCTCACGAAAGGGATCAAGGAGACGTGACTGAGGATCATTTGGTCAAGGAGTCCTTGCTAAGGGAGGAAGCAGATGCTAGATGCTGCAATCGGAGCAGCGCTGCCCGCGCTAGAAGAGAAGGAGAAGACGAGCGTTCAACCCCGCCCGAGACCTGGGAGACCCCACGATCCCCTGGACTGCTCTCCTCCGGCGCTGTGGACGAGGCACGTGCCGCGGCTCTGCCCTGCCGCCGGTTTGCATCTTGCCGCGCCTGCAGGCATCCATCGTCAAAGAGCTCACGGACTTGTACGCCCAGGCCGAGCGAAGCTGTGAAGCGATAGCGTGTAGGCAGTGTAGCCACGACGATGATGGCGGTGACAAAAGACGGCGATGATGCTGGCGACGATGATGACGATCGACGTTCACCGATCTTACTCCACGATCAGGTGCGACACGGCGCCCTGAATTTAGTGAAGGTCCCCCGAGCCACCTCACTCCTCCTCACTCCTCCTCCTCCTCCTCCTCCTCCTCCTCCTCCTCCTCCTCCTCCTCCTCCTCCTCCTCCTCCCAATCCCCCCCCTCCTCTCTCTGCTCCTGCTCCTGCTCCTCCTCCTCCTCCTCCTCCTCCTCCTCCTCCAGCGGCGGCAGCGGCGCGACGGCGCCGAGGACGGCCTCGGCCTCCACAGCAAAACCGCGGGGGCGCAGCTGGCCGCCGGCGTGGCGGCAGCGGTCGACGATGGCGATGCTGCGGATGATGATGCTGACGACTTCCGCGGCGGCGGAGGAGGAGGAGGAGGAGGAGGAGGAGGAGGAGGATGATGATGATGATTGAAAGTGTGACACATTATCACTGTCCGCATCGGAGTCCTCTGCAGCTTTTTTGGCTTGGGATGGGAGGGCCCGGCCCGCTTGGCGCCCCTGCCGCCGCGATCGCGGCGTTCCTCGGTGGCCTCACCAGCGGCTGGTGGGCCGGGCCCGAGGCGGCGGGGCAGGGCTCCTGCGGGCACGTCCTCGACTGCCCGCCTTGCGCCTGCCCGGCGCCCTTCTGCCCGAAGCTGTCGTGCCCGCCGGCGGCGCCTTGCCCGGCGTGCGTCTGCCCGGCGGCGGTCTGCCCCGAGGCGGTCTGCCCCTCGCTGGCCGCCTGCCCGGCGGCGGCCGCCTGCCCCGCCTGCACCTGCGGCTGGGCGACTTCGGCCCTGTGGGTCGCCGCTCTGGCTGCTGCGACCCTCGCCCTGGGTCTCGCGGCGGCCTGCCGCCTGTGGTGCCACGGCCGCTGGGTTGGCACGGCGACGGCGGGGGCCTCTTTCGGGGGCCCCGCCCCGCCTTCCGCCCTGGCCGCGGGCCGCGCGGCGCCGTCGCCGCTGGCGCTTGGCGACCGCGACGCTGGCGGTCCTGGTCTGGCTGCTCTCGACGAGCCTGACGTCTGGGTGCCGCGGCGTCGCCGCTGATGGCTGCCATCCCGCAGGCCCTCGACATCGAGCAGCAGCAGATCGCCGAGGCCTTCGACGACGACCCGAACTTCAGGTGGCACCACCGCATCCTCCTAGTGAAGATCAGGGACGATGGCCGGTGGGTGTATGCTATTCCGACCCACGACGTCCAGGTGCGGAACCTCACGGCGTCGCGCATCGTGCCGCTGGTTCGTGGTTGCCCGATCCCGTTTCGCCTGCGCGGGAACTTCTACTGGTTCGATCCCCTGGGGGGGGGGACGAGCTGGCGAGCCTGATGCAACAGTCACACGCCCTGGCAAGTATCCTGGGTGGAGCTGCGCCTGCTGCTGCGGCCTCGGCGGCCGTCTGGTACGTTGCCGACCCCGCCGACGAAGACTTCGGCACCACCGTCGAGGTCGCCGTCACCTCCAATCCCGCGCGCTTCGTGTCGCGGGGACACGCCGGGCTCGCCAGGATGGACGACCAGAGGTGGGTGGCAGTCGAGAGGCTGCTGCCCGGCGACCTTGCGGCCTGGAGGGAGGAGAAGCAGACGGGTGCCGGCCGCGACCCTCGCGTGCTCGCCATCAGCCGCGATGCGCAGGAGGCCCGCTACCTCGACTTCAAGGAGGGCCTGGCGACCCTCTCGGAGCTGGCCGTGAAGACGGGCCGCGACGGGATGACGACGGCCGAGTCCAAGGACTGGCCCTTCCGCGGACCCTCTGCGTCGCTCGAGCTGCTACGCGGGATCCGCGCTTCAGGAGAGTCCTTGGAGAGCTACCACTCTGCGCGGGCCAGGTCGTCTGGAGTCAGCGCCGAGGCGGGCGTGGCCAAGCATCACCAGAGCCTCGTGTCCGTGCTGCACCACGCGCTGTGCTTCGACCAGCTCGAGATCTTTCAGAGTGCTGCGATGGAGATGCTGGCCCGGCGCGTGCTCTACATCGAGCGCGCGGTCAAGAAGTCGCCCAAGAACCCCGACTTCCGGGGCCTCGAGATGATGATCCACAGCCGCCTCGACAGCGGCGCCACCCTGGCGGTCGGGGACTTCGCCCGCTTCATCGCCGACGAGCAGAAGACGGAGGCCTTCGCGCTGAAGCAGCAGCGCCTCTACGCCGAGGAAAGTGGCCGCAAGAAGGGCGGCAAGGACAACGAGTAGGGCCATCGAGGCTCTTCCCCTCGCACCTGGCCTTCTGCCTCGCAGTGGTGCTGCCGCTGCTCGGATGGATCGCCGTGGTGCTTCCCGCTGGCAGTGTGGTCTATACCCGCTCCCGCGGCCCAAGTCATTCTTTTCTTTGCCCGGCTCAGCGTCGGGACGGGAGCTCGTGGAGGCCGGTGCAGTGGGCGCGTTGCAGCTTGATGCCGCCGCCGCTCTTAACGCTCTGGCCGCCGCGCGCGCCCGAGGGCTGCCCAGGCCGGCGTGGCCCAGCCGCCTTCCCCGCGGGCGTGAGCTGTCTGACGCTCAGCTCGCGACGTGGAGGCGCCTCGCGGACGTGGCCCCGGCTGCGGGCCCGAGGCCACTTGAGTTCGACCTCTTCCCCTCCAGCGCGCTGCCGGAGCTCCTCAAGGCAAAGGACCTCTACGACACGGACGTGCCCCTGGCCGCGTCGCCGCACGACCCCGACCGCGTCTCCGTCACCTCCAAGCGGCTGCGCCCGAAGGACGCCCGGCTGCTGGCGGGCGCCGACGCCGCCCGCTACCTCGCCGACCCGTCGCTCATCTCCCTGGGGGAGGACCAGCTGGAGGGAGTCGAGCCTGTTCGTCCGCATTGGGATAGGCGCCTGGCTTCGAACCCCCGCCTCCTCCGTGACTTCGTGCAGAAGCTCGCCGACTGCGGCCTCATCTGCTACAGGACGAGGGTCGCCGCCCGCTGCGGGATGTTCTTCGTCAAGAAGACGTCTGGGCAGCTCCGCCTCGTCCTCGACGCGAGGCCGGCGAACGCTGTCCACCGCCGGGCGCCCTACACCAAGCTGGCCACCACTGGGGCCGTGGGGTCGCTCATCCACGACCCGGGCTACGTGGCCGCCGCTGCCCTGGACACCGCCGGAGCTGACGGCGCGGCTCGACCAGCCACAGCTCGGGGCGCGTGCCGCTCCAAGGACCGGGAGGCTCCATCGACCTCCAGGACGGCTTCTACCAGTTCCTGGTGCCCACGGTCTCGCACTACTTCGGCCTGGGGCTCCAGGACACCGCGGGGGCGCTGGGGGTGGACACGGTCTTTGACCCCGACCTCGGGTGCGACGTGGCCGTCGCTGAGGACACCCTCCTCCTGGAGGCGTGCTTCGCGGGCTTGCCTATGGGCTGGAGCTGGGCCCTGTTCTTCTGCCACAGCGCCGTGTGCGAGGCTTGCCGTCGGGCTCAGCGTTCGCTGGGGCTTCCCGAGTACCTCTAGCTTGGGGGACAGGGAGCCACCTCCCCTGCTGGCCCCGGGGACGGCGATCTGCGCCCAACGCCTCCGTCTCCTGCCTCCTCTCCGCCGTGGATCACGAGCTGGAGGAGGCGGGCCTCGCGGTGCACGAGCGCGTCGACCCCTGCCTGGACTTCGAGGCGCTTGGCCTGCATTTCGACGGCCGCCGCTCCTGGATCCGCCCCATCGCCCGACGATCGTGGAGGCTTTGGCACGGGGTCGGCACTTTGCTCCAGGTCAAGGCCATCTCCCCGGACCACATGCACCGCCTCTTGGGACACTTATGCCATCAGTTTTGTCTGCGCAGGTGTCTCCTCTCGGTGCTCGGGGAGTGCTACCGGGTCGGCAAGGGAGGCTCCACGGTGCGACCGCTGCCGGAGGGTGCCCTCGCCGAGCTGGCCGTCGCCCGCGGTCTGTGCCACTTCGCGCACGTCGACGTCGCGGGCGAGATGCTCGGTCGGGCCTACTGCAGCGACGCCTCCACCGAGGGGTACGCCTTCCACTTCACCGCCGCGGACCCCGCCAGCCTCTGGCGGGAGGCAGTCTGGCGCGAGCGGTGGCGCTTCGTGGACGACGACGGCGGGCCCGCGGCGACGACCGCGGCCATCCGTGGCGCCGAGGTCGCCCCCCTCCTGCCGGAGGGGGCTTTCTTTCGCTGGGTCGCCGACTCGCTGCAGCCTCTGCCCAGCGTGGCCCCCCTGCAGTCCGGCGACCCCCGCCCCCGCCGCCCGCCCCGCGACTTCCGAGAGCGGGTGGGCCTGGTGCCTCCGATCGCGGCCCAGCCGCTGGCGCCGCGGGGCCGCGGGCTCTTGGCGGCGCCCGGCGGCGATCCACTGCAAGGAGGCGCGGGCGGCCCTCCTCGGCCTCGACCGCGAGGCGCGAGACGCCCGGTCGCACGGATGCCACCTCATCTCCTGTCGGAGATCCTGGCGTTCGATCGGGGTCGGGCAAGGGACAAGGAGCTGCTGGCCCTCACCCGCCGCGCGTGCGCCCTCCAGATCGGCGCGGGCATCACCTGGCACCGGCGCTACGTGGAGACTGAGCGCAACCCGTCGGACTTCGACTCTCGCCTGGCCGGGCGGGGCCTGGTGCCCTTCGGGCGCCGTGCGCCGGGGGCGCTCCTCCGCCAGCTGCCCTTGGCCGCTGCCGTGGGGCCAGAGTGGCAGGCCGACACCGCGGCGGCCCCAGGGCGCCCTCGCGGGGAGGCCGCAGCCGCCGGAGGCCGACGGCCCGCGGCGCTGGCCGCCAGGGGGACCCATTCGCCGGGCAAGGGGGGGAGGATTCAGCCCTCCAAAGTCACAGCCCCTTGCCCGGCTCCCCCGCCGCGGCCGCCGCGGCCGCCCGCTGATTCTGGTGCCCGCGGGCGCTCCGCCTGGCCCGCCTCGCGGCCGGCGTTCCTGGAGCTCTACTCCGGCTGCGGGGCCGCCACCGCCGCCGCCGCGCAGGAGGGCCTGCGCACCGCGGTGCCAGTCGATCGAGTTCATG